CTAATTCCTAACCAGCTAGCTCATTTTTCACCAGTGTTGTGATTTTTTACTAATTCCCAAGATGCGTAAAATCCTGCCGTTCATCTATCGCTCGAGGGTATTGGTGATGTAGATGGTATCACCTGCGGAAAACACACTTACTGCCACACTTATTTGGTTTCGACGGAAGACTCATGTGAATCTCAGACGAATCTTCTCTCCGTGATTTTCTTCAACCGAATGTGCCACTAATAGTCCAACCCATGTTTTAGTCACTAGGACCATTGAGGTTGCACAGCATATTTTCTTGAATGGACACTATTCACAAGGTTGCTGAGAATTTTTCGACATCTCATGATCGGTTAAGTCCTTATCGGAGCCAAATCCATGCAGTTTGGATTCAAGCAGAATTTATGGTCAAGGGGTCTGCAGCTACCTGACATGTTGGTGGTAGATTGTTGGAGAGTTTTCAGGAACTTTCCCAGTCGTTTTAATTCAACGTGGCGCCTGTTTGTTTGGCACAGTGGTTTCAGTTACAGCCCTCAATGTGATATGGTTTATCTTACATTCCTGCGAAATCTAATAATGTGTACTAACTTCCGTAGGTTTATCAATTTGGCCTTGAACGGTGAGCTGTTTGTAAACCACAACTGCTTTGTGCTACTGACTTATCAGGCAGTAGTGAAAACAATCCCACTATTCTAAAAGTATCAATGGGCTTCCAGGACCCCCTATAGCTCCAGGACACAGGTTAAACCCCGACACCAGCTTCTGGAGAAGTGACTCGGTCAAGACCTATAAGGGGACACGTATGAACGCAAAAAATTGATTACTTTGGAAACCGGGCTCATTAAATCCGCACCCATCCACTCATTGTGCCTGCATGCCTTTTCAGTTTTATGGCCTCAAGTTTATTGAGCGGTGATATCCTAAACCCACCAATGACCTCATTGATCACCAATATTATGTCATCTGTGTGGATGAAGACAAAATAAGGGGAGTACTGTTCGTTCGAGTTCACCGAAAAGTCGGAATGCGGAGAGCAATCCGAGGATGGTTGTCTGTGGAAACCTACCCTCAGGTCACAAATATCCTCACCAGAAGACTGCAATATAAGCCGTCACACTAAGCTAAATTTTGACCACAGACTAACTCTGACGAGCTGCATACTAACTGCACGGAAAAGTGGGATCAAAGTTTCTCCAGAGACCTGAATATCACGGCGTAACTGCCAAACCGTCATGTGGTCCCAGAGGCCGCATGCCCGGCACCCGAGCATCAACTGAAGGAAGTGAAACGTTACAAAAAGATCCCCTAAGCCGAGTCAGGTCTTTGCTGAAGAAATTTTGTTTGGCGAGCCTGTTTTTTCTGGAGGCGGTTCTAGGGGATCTCTAATCCACAAATTTTGTGCATACGAGACTGGTAATCTGGTTTTGATCAGGATTGTTGCGTTGAAATCTAGAAGCCTGGGGTTCGAATTACGTAACAGGAACTAGTTGTTTGGGTCACATCAGTGGCCTGCTGCCACCACAATCGACGGCATCAGGTGAGGCTGTTGTTTCATATGTGTAACTGCCGCTGGGTCGTCACGGATACTATTTTCGGATGATGTCCAGCTTCTCATGTTGTGGAAGGTGTCACTGCGTTCTGTCGACTTCAACGTAAATGCGCCGGTAGATGTCAAATGAATATCTGACAGTTATTTTTGGAGCATATGTCAGAAATGCAGCCAGTTGGAGTCCACAACCAGTCCAGGATTCTTCGATGTCCATATACCCGCTTGTTTGCGAGGATCCTGAAAACTGTGTTGTTCTAAACGGACTCGGCCGGGTATTTAGAGTCTTGTATCAGAACCGGAGAAGTTTGATTGCCAGCCACCTGATCGACGCGAACTACTAACTCAGTCAGACAGACTCATTCGACGTAATTTACTGAGTGACATCTGATTGTCTGAGAAAAACCCGACAGGAAACAACAAGGTGGTTACCACCGGGCTCCGTAAGCAACCATATATTATCAAAGGCACACCTGAGGTCACTGACTTCACTTGACTAGTCAATAACTTCGCCCTCTGAGAGAAACCCGAAGCTTCATCAGAGTACCAGCTATCTATAATGTTTCACCCCCTATGCGGATTAAGAGATTCCAACACGTTGAACGTTAAATACGCCCAAACGTTAACTGGAAATAAGAACGGTCAAGGGATGTGGAGCACCTTGAATCACGTATGTGTCAGCCATCCTAAAGAGTGTTCGTTTGATAGTGAGCCTAACAAGCTCACCCAAGAATTCCTCGGCACAACTAACTAATCCGTCTGGTGGAACGCAGACAGGTCGATGAGAGAGCCAAATCTCGGTCCCTCCATCTCTGTGGGTTTTCCTAGTAGGGCGTCCACTTTCAGCCATTCGCACATCTCGTTATCTGACCGCCTTCGTGATATTATTCGGCCTAACATTCTATGCAACGACTTCGTGCGGGGCTGCGAAGCGGATTGAACGAGGCGCATTTTCAAATAAAATCTCCAGGTCCAAAGGACTTCAGGCCATGTCTGAAGCTTATCTGCGTTCATTCATCAACCACTTAACTACGCAGAGCAACTGGATTTGGGGCTGGAGACCGAATAATCGCTCGCACGTGACGTCAGAAGACAGACGGAAATTTGGAAATTTGCATACCAAGTTTTCAAGAACCATGGTGACCAGTATAGACCCAAGCACACAAAAGCATGCTCAAGCTGTTTTGTTGTATGGCTGTGAAACTCGAGCAGCGGAACTGAGACGTCTCCAGGTGTTCGAAAATCGTTGTCTCAGAACCATAGCTCGTGCGGGTTGGTGTCGGCG